CCCCCCCCCCCCCCCTCTCTCGCATACTCTGAAATACGATTGGGATTCAACGGCGCACGGCGCGAGGTTAGGATCGCTTGTTAAACATGTCGAGTGCACTGGACGAGTCTTCGGCCCGTCCTGCTGCCGCTTGACGCTTGCGTGCATCCTGCTGCTCTTTGCGCATGCGCTCCATCTTGGCCTTGACGGCGATGCGGTTGGGATCGACGACGTTCTCGCGCTTCTTGCGCAAATACCTGCTGAGCGCCTTGTTCTTGCCCCTCATCCTGTTCTTCTCCTTCTTGGGCGCCGTGTCGTGCGCAGCCACCTTGTCGGCCAACGATCCCGTGCCGGCGACAAACTCGGCGTCTTGGCCCATGGGGTCGGCATGGGGATCGTCGAGCTGCATGCGTTCGATGCGCGAGAGCTGCGAATAGGCCCTGCCGTCGGCCGAGCGTGCGACTGCGTTGGGGTTGCGACGCGCCATTTCGGCCAGGATGCGCTCCTGCTCGGCGGCCGAGACGTTGGTCTCGGCCACCCGCACGCTGCCCAGGATGCTCGAGTCGACCGAGATGAGTTCGGGCGCGATCTTGTCGAGCAGCTGGTGCACCTCGCGCTCGCGCCGCGCCGTGCGCGACTCGAAAGGATCCAGCTCGGCCGAGTCAAAGTTCGGCTCGCCCGCTCCCGGCGCCAGCAGCGAGGTAAAGCCGTTGGCGTGTCCGACACCCAGCACGTCCTCGAACGGGCAGAACTTGACCTGCAGCGGCTCGGCGCGTGGAAAGCCCTGGGTGATGTACGGTCCAGGAGGCGCATTCCCCAACGCAGCGTTGGTGTCGTAGACGGAAACGTGCGGGCCCCAGGCTACACCGAGCAGACCGCGCTGCGAGTACTGCAGGTCCGAAGCGGGACGGCGCGCTTGCCACTCGCGCCGCGGTCCCTTGCCGAGCATGCGTGTGTCCCACACCTTGATCGTGCCGTCCATGCCGCACGTCGCCATGTCGCGTCCGCCGTTGCGCGCATCGATCGAGATGCCCGACACCGGCCCGCGGTGCGCCAGCAGCTTCACCGCCGGCGTCGACAGGTTGGGCGTCCACAGCGTCACAGTGCCGTTCGAATGGCCCAGATGCAGCACCGCGGTGAGCGGATTCTGCGTCATGGTGTTGCAGTTGCCCAACCCCGTACGGTGCTGGCTGATCAGCGTGCCCGTCGACGTATCCTGGTACTTGAGATAGCCCGTCGCACCCACCGAGGCAAGCAGAAAGTGATACGGCAGGAACTCGAGCCGGTTCACGTCCGTGTGGTTCTTGAGCTTGTGGATCTCGATGCCCGCGTCGTCGTAGATGTAGACGTACTTCTTCTGCGCCGCGGCGAAGAAGCTCGAGTTGTGCAGCCACTTGACGTCGCGCACCGTCTCGCGCACCTGAATCTCGCAGCTCAGCTTGCCCGTCTGCCAGTCGAACGCCGCCAGATGGCCCTTGCGTCCTCCGATGACCAGATGCCGGCCGTTGCGTGTGTAGTCGCATCGGTACGGCCCCAGTCCCACACCCTGCTTGCCGCCATCCAGCTTGAGCTCGAACCCCTTCTTGGCCGTGTCGATGCCGACGTTGTCCTTGATCTGCGCCTGCGTCACCTTGAACGTGCGCTCCAGCTCGCCCTCGGTCTCGATCATGCCGGCACCCTCGCCGGGCGCGGCGGTGTTGAGATACTCGTTGGCCAGACGCGCCGACTCGGCGGCGCGCTTCTGCGAGAGGTGCTGGTGCGTGAGCTTGCTCTTGAGCTTCTTGTCCTTGATGCCCGCCACGGACTTGGGCAGCTTGACGTCGGCCATCGCCGCGGGCGCCGAGCGCTCGAGTGCGCGCGGCAGCGAGGTGGCGGCCGAGATGGAATGCGCCTGCTTGTCGAGCGCCTCCTGGCTGTGGTACGACTTCTTCTGGCCATTCTTTTTCGATGCGCTCGCGGTGCGAGACGGTTTGGACGGCCCCGCCTCCATGATGATGGTAGTTTGCGCCAAGCACGGGTCGGATGTATGCTCTGATGCGGTTTGTGTGAGAAGGTGCGCAGCTGCAAGTGCTGGTTGCGGGCGAGGATGAGTGGTGGAGCTGGAAGAGGGAAGAAGAAAAAAAATCAAAGGCGTGGAGGTGGCGGCCAACTTTTTCCGCCTCCAAAAGACCGAACCCTGACTGCTCGGCGGCCAAATTTTGTCCTTTTTGCACATTTTTGGGCCGAGCCTAAAAAGAAAAAGTGGACACCGCCCGAGGCCGCCTCCACTCTTCAGACCCTTCGACCACTACCGCACCTTCGCAACTTGCTCAGACCTCACCGCCGATTGCCTTGAAACCATGGCGAAAAAGGCAGCGGCGAGCGGTGGCGCATCGAATCGCAAGCCGAAGACCGCGCCCGTCTTCGAGCAGGACTCGGACGGCGATGATGGCGGCTCGCTCAACCTCGACTCGGCCAGCGAACTCGACTCGGACGTCGATGCGTCTGACTCGAGCGATGCTGCTGAAGGTAACGACGACGTGGAATCCCAGAATGATGAAGAAGAGGAGCAGCAGCCGAAGTACGCACAGTTTATGGACGACTCGGATCTCGAAGCCGCCTCCGATGACAATGACGACGACGACGACGATGATCATGGTGACAGCGACGGCTCGGACGAAGAGGCGAGCAACGATGGCCAGGCGCAATACAGCAGCGACGAGGCTGGCTCCGACCTTGACGAGGCCGCGCTCAAGCAGCAGATGAAGCAGATCCCGTTTTCGGCGCTCATGAAGGCACGTCGTCAGATGAATGCCTCGGACAGCGATGAACTTTCGGAACCGGACATCTCGGATCTCGAAGAGGACGAATTCGCCGAAGACCGTCGACGTCTCGCGCGTCAAACAGCTGGCAAGCAACCTGCGCGTTCCGGCAAGTCGAGTTCTTCGGCCGCGGATGCAGACGAAGCGCTCGAGCAGAAGCGGCGCGAGGTGCGCGAGCGTCTGCGTCAGCTCAACGGCAACGCAGCGGGGCCGTCGAGCGAAGGCGACAATGCATGGGCGGAAGCACGGCGGCAGCGCGAGCAGCGACGCAAGGAAAACGAGCGCAAGGAACTCGCCAAGCGTGCCAACAAGAACGCGCCCACCGAGATCTCGAGCAAGCGGCCCGTCTCTCGCCGCCGCACCGTCGTCGACACGCCCACCGCGCACATCCGCGATCCGCGCTTCGAGTCGCTCTCCGGCAGCGTGAACAAGGACCTCTTTTCCAAATCCTACTCCTTCCTCCCGGACATGTACAAGGACGAGCTGAGCACGCTCAAAAAGACGCTCGCCAAGCTCAAGAAGCAGGAAGCCACCCAGGCCGGTCCCAAGGCAAAGTCGGAGCACGCACAAGCCATCCGCGACGAGCGCGCCAAGGTCGAAGCCGCCCTACGCAGAGCCGAGGGTCTGGCCGGAGAGAGGGAGAGACGCCAGAGAGAGTCGACGGTCAAGGCGCGCATCAAGACGCAAAACAAGGAGCGCGTCGACAAGGGCCTCCAGCCGTTCTATCCCAAGAAGAGCGAGATCAAGCAGATGCTGCTCAAGGACAAGTACGACCGGCTGGCGGGCACGGGCGATACCGAGGGTCGCAGGGCCTCGGGCCAGGAGAAGAAGCAGCTCAAAAAGGCGCTCGAGAGAAGGAGGCGCAAAAACGCACAGAAGGAGAAGCGCGACATGCCCGTCGGCATCGGCTTTGGCCCCTCCGGCTCGGGCGCAAATGGTGCCATACCCAAACGCAAACGCCAGGCTGGCGCACCTGATGCCACCAACAAGCGTTCCCGTTTCTGACGGCTTCTCATTCGTCACCCGCTACACATGCACTGCATACCTTTCTCGCATCACCCATCAGAGTGTCTTCTTCAGTCGTGCCGGGTGCAGTTCCAGCGGTGGATGTGTGAGTGTGTGTTTGGATGCTTCGAAAAAAAAAAA